GCCTCAGCAGCCTGCTGCTGTGGACCCTGGAGCTGCTGTTGGTGGTGACACTGGGGGTGCGGGTTCTGGGGGTGCTGAGACCGAGGGTGAGGGTTCTGGGGGTGCTTCGGCTGGAGGTGCTGACTCTGGGGGTGTTGCGAGTCCTAGTGGCGGTGGAGCTGTGGGTGACCCTGCTGGAGGACGTGGAGCTGGACAGTCTAGTCCACATGAGGCGCCCTCGCCGGAGTGGATCCGTGCTTGGATTGTTCGGCGTAGCCATCCTGGTGGTGGAGGACTTGGTCCTGCTGGTGTTGGAGGTACTCCTGGGCGTGCTGCTAGTGCTGGAGGTGCTGGAGCTGCTAGTCCTGGAGGTACTGCTGGTGCTGGAGGTGCTGGAGCTGCTAGTCCCGGAGGTACTGCTGGTGCTGGAGGTGCTGGAGCTGCTAGTCCTGGCGGTACTACTGGAGGAGCTGGAGCTGCTGGTGCTGGAGGTGCTGGAGCTGCTAGTCCTGGAGGTACTGCTGGTGCTGGAGGACGTGGAGCTTCTGGTGCTGCCAGTGCTGGAGGTGCTGGAGCTGCTGGTCCTACTGCTGGTGCTGGAGGTACTGGAGGTGCTGCTGGTGCTGAAGGACGCAGAGCTACTGGTCCTGCTGGTGCTGGAGGTGTTGGAGGTGATGGAGCTGCTGGTCCTGCTGCTGGTGCAGGAGGTACTGGAGGTGCTGCTGGTGCTGGAGGACGTGGAGCTGCTGGTCCTGCTGCTGGTGCTGGAGGTACTGGAGGTGCTGCTGGTGCTGGAGGACGTGGAGCTGCTGGTGCTGCTGGTGCTGGAGGTGCTGGAGGTGCTGCTGTTGCTGGAGGACGTAGAGCTACTGGTGCTGCTGGTGCTGGAGGTGCTGGAGCTGCTGGTCCTACTGCTAGTGCTGGAGGTACTGGAGGTGCTGCTGGTGCTGGAGGACGTGGAGCTGCTGGTGCTGCTGGTGCTGGAGCTGCTGGTCCTGCTGCTGGTGCTGGAGGACGTGGAGCTGCTGGTGCTGCTGGTGCTGGAGGACGTGGAGCTGCCGGATCTGCTGGTGTTGGAGGTGCTGGAGCTGCTGGTGCTGGAGGTGCTGGTCCTGCTGCTGGTGCTGGAGGTACTGGAGGTGCTGCTGGTGCTGGAGGACCCGTAGCTACTGGTGATGCTGGTGCTGGAGGTACTGGAGGTGCCGGTGCTACTGGTGCTGGAGGTGCTGCTGGGAGTGCTGGAGGAGCTGCTCGTGCTGGAGGTACGGGAGCTGCTGGTACTCTTCGCCACCTTCTCAGTCTTCCGCCAGGTGCTACTGACTTCCTTGTGGCAGGTACTACTCCTCCGTTACTGTTTCCACCGGCAGACCAGTCTCAGCCGCCGCTACTACCGCACTCCCCACTGGCTGCTCTTGCTCCTTACACTGCGGTGACACAGTCCCTGACTGAGCGTCGAGAGCCTGAGACTCGTGCTTCCACCCCTGAGCGTCGAGAGCCTGAGTCTAGCTTTGACCTTGAGCCCGAGCCTAGAGCTGCTGTCCGTGCTCGTGTTCCTCGTGTTCGTCGTCAGCGTGCTCCGGCTGTCCCGGGCACTCACGATATGACACCCCGTCCTTCCTCTGTTCCACAGCGCGTTGTCCTGCCGTTCCTCTCTTCCTGACGTTGCTGACCCTCCGCCTGACCTTGCTCGTGCGTCCAGTCCGACTGTTACTCGCTTTCTTGCTACGGTTGTGACTGACCCTACGTTCTCGTCTCCTGCTGCGTCTGCCTTACTCGCTGAGCTCGTTGACTTTGCCGCTGTGTACCGCCTAGAATACCTTGCGAGTCTTGTTTCTGACCCTGTCCCTACCTGTCCTCCGTCCATCGGGGGTGAGACTGCCCTTGGCTGTACTGCCCTTGGTTGTGACGTTCTTGAGGACAGACAGGAGGAGCTGGAGTGCTTTGTGATTACTGTACCTCACCTTGCTACCATGCTGCTTGCCCCTGAGGGAGACCCGGATGCACTGGACATCCCCACCCCGCGCTCTTACAGAGAGGCGATCTCGGGTGAGTTCTCCTCCGAGTGGCAGACAGCCATGGAAGCAGAGATGGCTTCCTGGAAGTCCACAGGCACCTACGTCGACGAGGTTCCCCCTCCGGGGGCGAACATCATCAGTGGCATGTGGATTTTCAGGATGAAGCGGCCGCCGGGTTCTCCGCCTGCCTTCAAGGGGCGTTACGTTGTTCGAGGCTTCAGTCAACTTGAGGGGGTTGATTTCTTTCAGACCTTCTCCCCCACCCCAAAGATGACCACTCTTCGGGTGTTACTACACGTTGCAGCACAGCGCGACTACGAGCTGCACTCCCTCGACTTCTCGACATGATTCTTGCAGGGCAGCCTTCACGAGGCCATCTGGCTCCGCCGTCCATAGGGCTTCACTGGGACGTTTCCTGCGGGTACCCAGTGTAGTCTACGGCGACTAGTGTACGGCCTGCGTCAGGCGCCCCGCGAGTGGCACGACACACTGAGGACGACACTTGCGGCTCTTGGTTTCGCTCCCTCGACAGCTGACCCGTCGTTGTTCCTACGCTCGAACACTACTCTGCCGCCGTTCTACATCCTCGTGTACGTCGACGACTTGGTCTTTGCTACTGCTGACACCGAGGCACTGGCCCGTGTGAAGTCCGAACTGCAGAAGAGACACACGTGCACTGACCTGGGTGAACTGCGTAGCTACCTTGGCTTGCAGATCACCCGGGACAGAGCAAGGCGCACCATCACGTTGACTCAGTCACACATGGTGCAGCAGGTCCTAAAGCGGTTCGGCTTCACCTACTCCTCACCACAGCACACTCCTCTGGCTACAGGCCACTCGCTCTCAGCTCCACCTTCGGACGAGTCCGTAGAGCCGAGTGGTCCATACCCTGAGCTTGTGGGCTGCCTCATGTACCTGATGACTTGCACTCGCCCTGACCTCGCGTACCCTCTCAGCCTTCTGGCTCGCTACGTGGCTCCTGGTCGACACCGAAAGGTGCACTGGGATGCTGCTAAGAGGGTACTGCGTTACTTGTGCAGTACATCAGGCATGGGACTGGTGCTTGGAGGACGGGACACTGTCGTCCTCACGGGTCACTCCGACGCTTCCTGGGCTGACGACCAGGCGACTCAGAGGTCGTCACAGGGTTACACCTTCAGTCTCGGCTCTGAGGTCCACTCGTTCATCTTTGGTGCTTAGTTTCAGCTGTGAGTAGGGCCTCAGATTCGTTTTGGCCTAGGCTGAAAAATCAGAGTTGGTACAAAACGTTTTGCTGAAAATCAGACAAATCAGCCATTTTATGCCATTTTACACTACAAATCTAATAAAATTTTCTGTTTCTTTTGAACAAATTGCTGAAAAATCAGCCTCAGTTCTAAAAAAGGTCTAAAATCTCAGCCTTTTTTTACCTAAATCCGCCTTTTTTCGCTGACTTCTTAGGCCCTGGCTGTGAGGCCGAGATCTATGCTGGGGCTATGGCTGCACAAGAGCTACGCTAGCTGACCTACCTGCTGACCGACCTTGGGGAGCAGCCTCGTTCTCCTCCAGTGTTGACGTCGACAACAAGGCAATGCTTGCCTTGTGTTGCGAGCAGCGACTGGAGCACAGAACGAAGCACATTGCTCTTCGCTACTTCCTTACGCGTGAGTTGCAGCAGCATCGCCAGCTCCACCTCTCCTACGTGGCCTCGCGGGCCAACACAGCTGATGTGTTCACCAAGGCCCTCGGGTCTGGTGATCATGAGCACTTCTGTCTTGCTCTTGGGCTTGTGCCCACTCTGCCTCACCTGCTGGTTGCTTGGCTTGCACTTGTTGTACACTGATATATTTATTTATACCTGCATGTTTACTCTTTCCAACAAGCCGTCAAACTCGTGAATTGCCCAAGTATCGGCTAAGATATGTCTTATAACGTGATCACTTGTGCTCTTAGAAGCAAGGATAGACCTCTCTCGAATTTGTTGTCGAATGTATCACATAAAAAATGATTCTGTATTTCAATATGATAGCATGCAATACAAAGCAAACAGATTTATAGCATGCAAACAACATCGAGCCGCACAAGTAACCTCGAACCGCGGTACACTCGCGAATGTTCGAGTAACATTTCGAAGGGGTGAAACTCTACACTCGAATTTCACCGAACGAATTCTCCTTCAGTCTAGATTGTTCTTGTGCTGCCATGTGGCACCAAATCGATGGGTCTTCCTAAGTCAAACCTTGAGCCCCACGCCAACCTGCAGCTCACTCGAAGGTGCACCAAAACAAAACCGTTCGGTGGTTAAGGGCAAAGCTTGCCTCACGCAACCTCCAACACAAACATGCTTGTTAGGCTTTAGTGGGGCACACACTATGGGGTACACGGGATTTTACTTGTACCCCCTCCTTGCTAGTGAACTTCATTCAGTGAAATCCACTGCGGTCCCTCCAAGTTCCCAACCCTGCTTCCTTCGTGCAGCACTAACAGGGGGAACATCTCGTCACTCTCCGCAGGGGTTGGGGCAAATATTTGTCGCCTCCAACGCCTAACCACAAACCCGGTAACCAGGTGGAGGCAAGTGATAAACCTTTGCCTCCACCCCCCCCAAATTGCGCCCTTGCTTTAAGAGGAGGTGTTAAGTTAGTAGCTAGAGAAACTTAGGAGTCAAAGAAGGAATCATGGCTTAAAATGACGTGAGTAGCGTAAGAGAGATTAGAAGGGTTTCACTAACAAGCAAGGGGCTAAGTTTAGGTGGACGAGGTGAAGGTGGCTGCTTGTAAAGAAGCAACATCACAGGGCCTGGTTTATCATACCATATTATGGTTCTTCCACATACGCACAAAACGAGAATGCCAGATAAATACCAGCTGTCAGAAGGTCGTCACACTTGGTGCAAACTTTCCCTGTACGTCCACGAAGCTAACTTTGAAAACCCGAACCCTAACATAAAAGTCATCGGGATTCTGAAACATCCCAGAGTCGACTAACGCCTTGATATTGCCGACTGGCTTGTAAGGCACAGTCGAATTAAGTGTAACCGTTGTGCTGGCGGTGCAGGTCCAGGTGCCGGCCGCTACTCGTATATATGTTGAGCACAGAAACTCGGCCACAAGGGATCTGGTGCTGTTCCTGTAAAAAGCGGAGCTGAACGATGGGGAGAATTCCCTATAATTGAGAGTTATGCCCCTAATGAGGGTTACGATCGAGCTGGTTTGGTCAGTGGCCGTGCTGCAATGAGAGGGGAGAGAGGGAGGGGGAGGGGGGGGGGAGAGGGTGGGGAGACAGGCAGATGCGAGAGCACATAGTAGTAATGGGGTCCTGCTGCTGCAATCATAGCGTGAACGAGGTGTCACGAGATAGGATATATAGTAGTCATCAACGAAATGGAAATGAATCGAGGTTTAGGGTTGTGTGTTTATCACCGGAGTTTGGCGCTTACACGTTAGCATCCAGGGTGCACGAGGCATTAAAAAAAAATCCCGAGAAAAGCGTCGATGAGGATTGGTCTGTGCAACGCGGAGAGGGATATGAAGGTAGGGAAAAAGGCGGAGAATGTCGTGGTAGATAAGAGAAGAAAGACTCAAGCAATAAAAATTCGGAGATTGGATCATCGTGATGGGAGTGCGTGCAGGTTGAAAGCATCAGTAATGACAAGAGAGTCACCGTACAGCGTGTGTTGGAGGTTTGGAGCAGATGACGACCCGCGATGGCGCTGCAGGAGAGAGAGGGCAGCACTGCACGAAGGACGTGGCGAGATATTATGGTTGTTAGAGTCAGATTTTGAGAACTTCACAGATCTAGTCAGATATAACAGTCGGAATTTCGGAGATTTGACTCAGGATAGGATTGCCTCATCGTTGAATTATGTTGGTCCAGGTTCCTCGACCTTAGCTGCGTGCAAGTAATACATTTGTTTTGCAAAAAATCGCAGAGTGGGCGAGCAGATTGAGCACGAAGCAGCGGCTAAGCGGCTAGAGTGACCAGCAACAGGCGGTCAAGCGTCGGTAGCATGATAGTAACTATCGAGGACGAACGGCGGTGAGATCACGTTCAGGAACTCACCAGCGAGGACGAACGCAGATCGCAGCGACCAGAGCGCCATGGCTGCTAGTGGTCGTCGCGAAGTGGTTCTACTTGTGCTTGCGTGTGATGACGAGAATTACAGGGCTGCCTTGACAGAAGAGAATGGAGAGGCTCGAACCAAGTGCGAATGAGATAGTGTTCAGTAAAAAAACCTGTGCTTTTATAACCAGTCGAGAGGGCTAGTACTTGGTAGGATAAAACATCTGCGCGCGGATGACTGAAGGGCTATGTGGTTGCAAGCTCTACGCGGCGTGGAAAGCGCGAGTCAGTTCTATTATCAGGCAGCGAAGGGACAGGAGCGCCCAGGTAGAAATTTGCCGTGGAGCCTCAAGGTGCGCCAGCTTGAGGCTGCTATTGGGCTAAACGGGTTTCAACTTGAAACACTCGGGCCGTGTCAGATGCCATGGGCACTCGCGGGGCCGCGACTCACGCCGGTGGTCTTAGGTGCCTTCACCTCATCTTTCCAGGTGTCGGATCGGAACTGGTGATTGCCTTGCACCTTGCGTTGTATTTCATCACTACCGTAGTACTTACGAAAGGGCAAGGCGTTGTACAGGGAAATGTTGCTTTTGGTGTTGCTTGCTTCTGATTTTCTCCTGAATCCTGATGCCCCCTTTTTCGCCGCATGTGCCTCTGTTAGTAGGCGCAGAAGCATTCATGAAATCCCAAGGGTCGGGTTGGGTGAAGCTCACATTTGCTGCCGAAAATAACGCTGTTGGGCTAGGGGCAGCTTGCTTGAGGACTGAACAAACCCACCGAACCTTGTTCAACCGTTTTGACAATATACTCTACCGGTTAAAAACGTGCAGAATGGTACTAAACCACGCTATGTGGCGACAAACCTATCAAATACAAAGTTTGTCAAGGAGTTTGTTCAATGCGCCGTGTCTCGCGCAAAATTATCTGGGAGTTACCATACCTGTTGCGAAAACTGACTTCGCATAAACTGTAGATAAAAACAGACTAAAAGCATCATGTTTGCACCATGTGAATCAAAGTTTGCCAATCAACCAAGGAAAAATAACAAAGCACAAAACAGCAAGTATGGCAATAGGGGCAGTAAACTATCAGAATAACTGTGCAGGAATGATCGGATTAGCAAGAGTTGGGGTACAAGTGTTGGAATAACCGAAAGGTTATCGTAACATTCCCGAAGGCTCTCCATTCGCGCATCACTCCATAACGAAGCAACGCGCCTGTATCAGTATCGCAATAGCTCATATAGAGCATGCGGAAGGTCGAGGGTCACCCGAAGGTCAACAGTCGAAGACAGTCAACGGTCGTGACCCTTGACTGCCTAGTGACCGCACTTGGTAATTACACGATGCAACATGGTAACTGTCAAGAATAGCAATAGTCGTGGTTACTGTACCAATGCAATTCAGTTAATAAAGGAATGTACCCCTCATAGTACATGGCTAGTTAGGATTGCTACCGTCATCACCCGGATATGCCCCCAGGTGGGGGTATAAAAAAACCTGAAAAAATGGTGGGTGGGCTTATAATGTGGTAAATTTTATTACACCATGGGCTAAATAAATGACATTTATGGAATTTTGAATTTAAAACACTGGAATGTAGATTTCACCATTGCGGATTCTATCGATGCTAACAAAAAGTGGGTCGCTGCTGAAACTTTCAGGGAATGCGTCATACTGGCGATAATCCGTGTCAGCACATTCCGAACTGTTGATAATTTGGTCTTACGTGTGCTCCCGTGACAGTTTCGCCAAGCGAGCCAGGGGGGATTTCGCCAGGCACGTCAGTAGTGATTGCTTTAGGCGCGTTAGTGGCGATTTCACTATAAAAAACACGGGAATTCAATGGGTGCGCTTATACGAAGATTGAGAGAATTTGGGGTGGGCTTATAATTGGCAACCGGCTATAAGCCCACTAGTCCGATTATAAGCCCATGGGTGTAACATAGGCCTGGGGGTATATCCGGATGATGACGGTATTTATTCCTTGTACTCCTATCTTATAATTATCTTGTTCTCTTTCAACTTACTAACAATGTCATTCACAAAGACTTCATTGTCTTCTCTCAAACTTGACAGACTTATCCTATCCAGTACGACCCTTCAGTTACAACATGGTATGAGAGCTAGAGTGGATTATAAGGCCTGTCGAAGTTCTTTGTTCTTCTCGAACAAACTCTTTATAAATTATTCATTACAAACTCTGCATCACAATGGCTCCCGAAGGAAAAGCCTCTGCAGATTCTCCGGGCCCACCACCAGCAACGCCTACTGCCCCATCAGCGGTGACTTCCGTCAGCGCCGCTCTCGTTGATCAGCTTGTCGCCCGCATCAACGCTCTTGAGAGCCATCAAGCCATGAGCATCGATGGCTCAAGCTACGCAAGAGGAGTTGTTGGACTCCCTCTCCCAGGAGAAGACCGCCGCGTCAACTTCGAGAGGTCTTTCACCTTTGACAACCGTCAAGCTTCAGCTCCTGTAGAAGACAGTCAACAACGAGTACAGTCAGAAACAATCACGGCCCTGCAGACAAAATTCGTTTTGACCTCCAAGCTGAAGACCTTGACTCAATTCGACGGCAAGGATTTCTACACGTGGAGCTTCAATTTCGAACTCCTCGCAACAACCGCTCAGATCTGGATGTATTACGACGGAACCTTACCTTTCCCTTCGGAAGGGACCCTCCAGGAGAAGCATCAATACTACCACGAATCTCTTCTTGCGTACACCACTCTTCTCCGAAACCTCTCCCCTTCCGAGCAGCTTGGCATTCACTCATACAAGTCAGAGTGGGCACCCGCATATGCATCTTGGGAGCACCTGAAAAACTCATACATGGCAACAGATCCCGTTACAATGAGTCGCCTGCTCAGCCAACTGACATCGGTTAAAATGCAACAAGGGGAGAAAGTGGGACCGTATATCAATCGGTGCCGCAATCTACGCGACCACATTAAGAAGTGCGGCGGAACCGTCCCAGATGACATGTTTGTCTCGATGGTTCACTCCGGTCTTGGACCCGACTGGCGTCAATGCCAGTCGTTGCTCCGTGCTCGAGCAACTATTTCCGAGTCCGCCCTCTGCGCCACACTTCTCTCCGAGCAGAAGGAGATTGATATGTACAATGAGAAAAACAGCAAGCGGGAGAAATTAGTCTTCTATGCTGGAGCGACTGAAGGTGAGCAGCACGGCAAGAAAGGAACTTTCTGCAAATACTGCAAGAAGCACGGGCACACTATAGATCGGTGCTACAAGCGTAAGGCAGCTGACGAGAGGCGCAACAACTCCTCCAGTCAGCAGCCTTCGGCACCCTTGGCTTCTCCTGCTACAACATCAACCATGTGGCCACCTTCCGTCGCAAGCACTTCCCAAACTCCTGCGCGCATCACGGTCAAGGACAAGGGAAGGGGGTCAGTCATGAGCTGCATGGCGCGCCGTCGCAGAGGCACTCGATACTACGACGGTACACAATTTCCACCTATAGCGCCCATTAACCCCATTACGCCCAGACTAGACAACGACCCCACCATTCATAGCTGGATTGATCGACCAAGCAACATCCCACCTGATTTTGAGTTGCCTCCGCCAACCCCGGAGTCTCCCCCCAGCATCTCCGCAAGACAATACATTGATCTCTCGCCATATACCGGGGACTTCGACCGCATCTTTACTCCGAAGATAGCCGGAATTGCGCGACGGAACCGTGAAAATTACAACACCTGGTATCTCGACAGCTGCTGCGGGCAACACATGGTGGGATCACCAAAGTTCATTAGCGAATCAAAGCGCATGCGGCGACCGTGCGAAATCACCGTCGCCAACAACAACCGTCTCAAGGCCTACGAAATCGGAAAATTTTATCTCGAGGCTGCAGACACTCACTTCACCATTCACATCGGAGATGTGCTGGTCGTTCCCAATCTGCAATACAACCTCCTCTCCTCGGCGCAACTCATGAGGTGCGGAGTCGATATTTGGAGCAACTGCGAAGACAATACCTTCGAATTATTCTACAAAAATACCTATATCGGCAAGGCTGTCGATGACGACGGAGTCTTCGTGTTGAACTTCACGGCGGAAGGAACGACAGGCGACTCCGAACGAACTCTGCTCCTGAAGACGACTCCCACCGAAGCACCGACTTGGTCATACCCTGACGAGATGGACCTCGAACGTCCTGCCTTCAATGGACTTCTCCGCTTGCGCGCCGTCCCAACCGCCTCAACCTCCAATCAAGGCGACACCGGACCTGCAACAATGGAGGAAGACGACAACAACGGAGGATCAGCAACTGCAGAAGCTGACACCGGAGGATGGGGAACAACTCCAGCAGCAGGAACTGGCTGGGGAACACCTACTCCTACGATCGAACCGTGGGGAGTCATCGAGCCACCACAAACCACACCTGGGGGCGGCTGGGGTGCCTTCCAAGCTCCAGAAGAAGAAGCGGAAGGAACCACTGGAGAAGCCGCAGGATCCGCCGCAACAACAGAGGAAGACGAAGGGTGGGGGCCGCCATCAGCACCGACGGGCGTCCCGTCTGAAGAAGGCTGGGGAACCGCCAATGCTCCAGCCCTTCCACCTGAACCCGTCGCCGACCTCGATCCATACTGGGCAACACGTGGCACCAGCTAGGGCGGACCTCCTCTTCCGGACCAATACGCTCCTGGCACACCGGAGCATGTGCAAGAGGAGTCAGAAGAAGAAGAAGAATTGACCTAAGAGTTTTTCAGCAAGGCAGCTGAACTGCCCGAACCTACCGAGGAAGCGCCACCGCCAGAACAAGGACCTCAGCTGATTTCGGTCACCGGCAGCGAGTACCTCTACCATCGCGTCCCGATGGAAGGACTTCCCGCATCTGAATGGCCCGAAGCAGCGTCCCTCCCGCAACCGCTTGTCACCGGCGACGCCGTACACTCCGGCAACACGGACGACATCGCCACGTTTCCGAAAGAGGTCCTGGAGCACCTCTCCGTCCGAGCCTTTGCAGCAGACGCTGACGCCGCCGCCGACAAAGTTCCTGACAAGAAGCAGAACGACGA